CCCTATATTATCACCTCAATAGATGGAGAAAAGACATTTCATAAAATGCATCCTTTTAGCAAAGACAGAAAGAGAAAAACTTCTGCAGTCATATCTAGGGTAGCTATAAACTTTCTAATGAAACAGCATTCTTTTTTTTAAATGTACTTTACTGTAAAGATGTGGGGTACAATTCAGGATTAGGTAAATAAGCGGTCATCATACACATGTAGTTTGGGCCTCCCTTTGGTTCCCCACTTTGCCTAGTTTGAGATCAGGTACGCTTATTGATGTTATGTGCTCTCCACGCCCTCCCTTGGCAGAGTCAATACCGCTACTCTCCTGTGTGAGAGTGGGAATCCCACAAAGGAGAGATCAAGGGATGGGGAGGGCATAGTCTTTGTATACAAATTTCTGACTGATTCCAAACTATGCAAGTGTGAGCCGGACTACGCAGCCCTGCTAAGGCTAAAACAACTGAAGAGAGACTTTAGCTTCTGACACTAACACGTAGAGAAGTTCATATTCAGTTCCAACAAAGTTTTCAAGCAAACAAAAATTCCAACATTCTTCAAAGGAATATAATAAAATCCAGAGTAAAAAAAAAAAATGTTAGTAACCAATGTTGTACCTTTATTTACAACTAAAATTCTGTATAGATCATACAATCATGAGGTGCCTTACCTGGGAAGAAACCTAGAGAACAAATAGTCTAACCTCTTATTTTTTTGGAACAGGATACTCTGACCTAGAGTGATTAAGCATATTTTCCACAGTAGCTTCACCAAGACAATGAATGTGCTCGATCTATAATCCAGATTTCTTGATTTTGTGTCAAGCTGCCAGCCTAAATAAATTGCTTTGGTACATTCCAAGGGTATTAAGTCATTAAAGTATTGTTGAAAACTGGGTAGCTGAGCTCTAAGACCAGAAGACTCTGGTAAATATGCATATTTTTGAGGGTGAAAAGGCTTAAATTTAAAAATAATAATAATAAGCAAAGTGATTGGGCCCTCCTTACTCTTCTGGATGTAACATCTTTTTTTTTTTTTTTTAGTTGGAGTCTCACTCTGTCGTCCAGACTGGAGTGCAGTGGCCGCTCCCAGCCACTGCAGCCTCGACCTGCTGGGCTCCAGCGATCCATCCGCCTCAGCCTTCAACCACGCCTGGCTAATTTTTTGATTTATTGTAGAGATGAGTTCTCGCCAAGGTCCCCGGGCAGGTCTCAGACTCACGGGCTCAGGCAATCTACTCACCTCAGCCTCCCAAGGCGCGGGATTACAGGCTGAGCCACTCAGCCCGGTTGTAACATCTTTTTTATTACAACAAAAGATTATGCGCCTTCATAAAATTTTCGCAGATTTTCTGGATAAATATGTATAGAGGAATCTGGGAAAAATACTGGGTTCTAGCTCTGAGATCACTGTTTTGGTGTCTTAGATTGTAGAGATTTATGGTTAGGAAAAGAATGTGAGTGACTTTGCAATTGCTCTGTGGCCTGTGCATACTCTGACTCCTTCCAATTCCAAGTGTGTTTTAGGGCAGGAAGTGTCTTATTCCTCTGTATCAACTCAGCACATGCAAAGTGTCTGAAAGGTAATAAGGGCCCGTAGATGTTTGCTGAGGGAATAAAGAATTATTTCTTCTTTCAGTTCTGCAATGTGTTCCCTTTTTTACATTATCTCCCAGGAAGTCACAATGAATTATTTAAAAACTTTCCTGCCCAGCATAAGCTTATTTTGGAACAAATAAAGGAACATCAAGACTCTCTGGACATCAATAACCTTCGGGATTTCATTGACTACTTCCTGATTAGTATGGAAAAGGTATCATGTGACCCTGATTGGCTATTTCATCTTTATGGGTGATGTGACTCGTAGATTTCCTTTGATTTTCCTGGAGAAACTGGGATATTAAAACAAATGCTCCTTCCTAAAGATGACTTCATTGCTTCTGCAACCTATTGCTTATGCAAACCGCATGAGTGTTTTAGATATTTCTACATTCTCCTTGAAAAAAACTTCTAAGTTATTTGGGGACGGATTAAAACACACTCACACATATTATTCCAGTCTTATGATAACATATCATGGTACATAAAATAATTTCCATGAGAAGTTCTAATAAATGAGAGAACTCAGGAATGGATAGGAATCCAGAATGGCTTACCATTGGAAAATCTCTAGGAAATCCTCACAGATGAGTTTGCCTTTTAAGGAACTCTTGCTTACATTAACAGAAAGGACAAATCCAGGGGATGAGTGTAGTGATAAAGTATGTGGAATTTTCGAAAATGTCATCTTGATTGTAACTGGGAACAGTGGGGGGTGTAATGACTGATGGGTTTGGAAACACTGATGTAGTATAGGGTGGGAAGTTCTGGAAACCTGAATGAGAAATTTAGACATAACATTGACAGTAGAGGCTAGACTTGACAGTGATTAGCAGTGGTGACTTAATAAAACTATATTTTAAGAAATTATCCAGGAATTGATTGGCTACAGTGGGTGAGAAAGTGACAATCAGAGAGGCCTGCAAGTTTGTAGCTCTGCTTATAATTTAACAACTTGAAGGAATCCTAACAATTTGTCTAACTTCAGCTAAAGCACATCCTAATGTCCGACTTAATTTTCCAAGTACTAATATAATTTTGAATATTTTTCTCTTACCTGAAAAATTTTTGTATGTATCAAATAATGCTAACATGTTATTTCTGGGAAAAACACAATAAGCAGGCTGAATTTATCATGGACAACTTGGTCATTACCATATGGGATATTTTTAGTGCAGGAACAGAGACAACAAGCACCACCCTGAGATATGGATTCTTGCTCCTGTTGAAGCACCCTGAGGTCTCAGGTATGATCATAGCTGATGAGCAGGTGAAATTCGAGATAGAAATTGGCAGACAACACTGATAACCACCCCTCGCTTTACCTGCCTAGAAAATATACAAGAACATTTCTCATGAGTACAACTGCCTGTCATTGTATGGATTTGATTCAAATTACATTGTAGTTTAAGAGAATAAAATGTTTAAAGGACAGAGTTTTGAAGGACAGGTGTCATTATTCTCCCTGCTATGGTGTAGTAACCTTGACTTGGTTTGGCACAGCTGCCAACATAGTTGACATAAGACTATGTCTTAGGATTCGAGAAGTAGTAACTTCTTTCATTCCCTCAAAAGATCTCCCTCAATATGCCCTTTTGTATCCAGATAAATATATTTTTGTCAAAAGTTATTTTTACTCAAACTCATTTACAATGTAGGGATTCACTCAACAACTTACCATCTTTCTCCATCAAAGAGACTCGTTCTCCAGTTAGAGAGTCATACTCAAATAAAATATATCTTAATTTACCCTTTGGAAAAACACATTTTTTCACAAACATAACTCTCTTCCAAATGCAACTTTTCCATTTTTTCCAACTCTTTTTTATTGAATTCTCATCCAAAGATATATTTCCTTCACTGCTCCATTATATTTTGTGATTTGGTGCATTGAGACATTTTTAATATGATTAAACCTAAAGAAGCTTATCTCCATGACATCAGTATCACGATTTTCTAGTTCGTTTAAGGTCCTTCTGCCCTTCCATTATAAAAACGAGGTATTTTCCAAGTTGTGCAATTTAGAGACACAGTCTTAAAATTTTTTGCAGGCAAATACTGTGAAATATGATGCTTCTGCATTTCTTTCCCATGACATGGAATCTCTTGTACATTCCTAACACTCATATAAGACCTATGTTGACTATGACTTGAAATCATATATAACATTTTTCTCTCCAAGTCTTTAATTTTGTGCATGTTGCAAAAGCCTGTGGCATGTCATATCTCCCTATCTCTTCCATTTTTATCTTCCATTTGAATTTTTTCTTCAGTCCTGTCCATACATATTTCCCTTTTCTTTTCATCTTCATCCTTCACTGTACCATTTCACTGAGCATTTAACTTTTAAGTAGTTCTCGACCACCTTTTGTCACCTCTTTCCTCTAGATGCAACTCCATTCTCTCATCATGAGAAGGTAAAATTTAAAATACATCTGGTATGCCTAACTTTTTCCTTTTTCTTTTTTCTTTTTTTTTTTTTTACATTTCCAAAAATATGGAACACTTCATGAATTGAACTTTTTCCTTTTTATAGCTATCAGACCAGATAATTTTCACATGGTTCATTACAAAGTCACATTCTTTAGGTAGTTGAAAAATACCATTTGACCAAAGTAGCAGCAAGATATTGCTACTCTAAAAAATAGATTATAGGGTTTATTAGTATTGACTTCAGATTCTCATTCTACTTTTAGGTAGGTATGTGACCTCAGTTTCATGAATATTTCTCCATATTTTGGGTTCCTTATGTGTTTAGGGGGAATAATATGGGAAAAAGCATATAATCTCTGAGTGTCCTTTGGAAATGTATTGACTGCTCCGATTTCTTATAGAATAACAAAATAATACCCAACACATACTACTATTTTGAGGAACTTTAAATTAATATAATAAATAGTGCAGCATATTTTGCCGAAAGCCACAACCCCTAAAGAGGCAAAATGGAGGTTACCCAAAAATGGGGAAAATGCTGACTGGGAGCAGAGCCCCAGTGGGAAGCGGCCATGATGGAAGCAGAGCCCCATGGATCCTATTGAAGGACTCCTTTTGGTCTTAAAGGAATGCGTGCTTAGGCTTGAAAAACACTTCCCTTGATAAATAAAACAATTAGCTAGAATGTGCAAGGATGTGGAATTAGCAGTAAACCTATGTATAGAAATGTAAAAATGGCTCAACAGCAAAAGTTTCCCCCTAAAGGGACAAGGGAATGTTTTACTACCCCCTTGCCCATGAAAATTTTGCAACCTTTAGCTAAAAAGGAAAAACAAGTACTTCCTCATACCCTTTATAAGTAGCTAACAGATCCTATACTAAAATAACAACATTGACAGTTGTGACTGATGAGGAAGTGAGAAACCGAGACAGAGTGTCTCCAAAAACAGGTGTTTTCGGGAAAAACAAGTCACAGACATGCCTTTTGATTTAAGAAACATTATAGTTTAATTAGAAAGAGGGTTAAAATTAAAGTAAGGATTAGAATTAAATAAATAACAGTTATAATTGAAAGATAAATGTTTATTATAGATGTAGGTATTAGTTAAATATAAGTAATAGAAGGAATAGGAAATAATTAAGTTTTAAGGTAAACTTAAAATTATACACACTTAATGTAGGTTTAAAATTAAATACATTTAGGATTAGAAATAAGATTAATTTCATATATAAGGGTAGATTTAGACTTAAGTTTTGTTTAGAAATATAAAATGTAAAATAGGTGATAAGAAAATGGCAAGTAATATAGATAAGGCAATTAGAATTAAGAAAGTTAATTTTTTAAATTAATAGTAAAATTAATTAATATAGAGTATTAAAAATTCAAAGAGGGTAAGATAAGGGTGGTTATATAAAAGAAAAAACAAGTCAATATATTGCTGCTAAAAGTGTATATAAGTGTAGAATTAAGAAAATAGATTAGTAAAGGAAAAGAAATAGAATAGCAAAGGAAAGAGATTCAGTTGGCCTAGAGGTCACAGGTTGTGGCTGATAAATTCTTGGCAGCTGGTGTTTTGTTCCTATCTGTTGATTCAGACATAAATAACTTCACCGGTAGCAGGAAGGAGCGAGATGATAATTGTAAAGGTCAACCTCCCCATAAATGAAAAGGAAACGTGATGTCAGCTTGGAATGTGTAATGTGGGGTACATTTTGTGGGTAGGGGAGCTAGTAAAAAAACTATATAAGTATGTGAGAATTGAATAAAATTTGGCAGAGTCTTGAACTCTACCCATGAAGGTGACTCTTGTCGTTCTTCTCCGCTGTTCCTGATTCTCCCCATTCAGGCCCTGACTCTCTCCTGGAGTTGGTCTCTGGCAATGTTTGTCATATTTTACCGTCTAAATAATTTTTAACTTACTTATTTTTTGTGTTGAATCAACTAGAAGTCTTATTCTATTGTTCTTTTTACTAACCATTTACTGCACTAGGTAATTCTTACCACCTTGAAACTTACAAATTTAAGATAAAAACTATCATACTCATAGTGGTTAAACTACATCGTCTTTCATGAGTCTTTGAGATCCCATTTCCCTGAGTCTATCAAGAAAAAGTGCATCAAATAGAGAATAAGAGTTGAGAAATAAATTTTGTGGTTCAATTGTATTACATATGTGCATATACTCTTATTTAAGTCTCAGACGAGCTTCCATTTACCCAGAAAATGGAAATCTTGATTCTTTTTTCCCTTATTGATATAGTGACACATAATTACTCCATTCCCCATTTCCAACCATGATGGACAATGATTGTGGGATCAAAGAAAGGGTTGGTGGACAATGATTATGGGGTCAACTCTTTTTCATTTCATGTAAATTCTGATTCCTGCTTCACCAGCTAAAGTCCGGGAAGAGATTGACCATGTGGTTGGCAGAGACTGGAGCCCCTGCATGCAGGACAGGAGTCGCATGCCCTATACAGTTGCTGTGGTGCACGAGATCCAGAGATACATTGACCTTGTCCCCACCAACATGCCCTATGCAGTGATTCAGGATATTCAGTTTAGAGAATACCTTATTCTAAAGGTGAGAGATATTTTATTTGTTCTCCTCCTTTGGAGTAATTGATGAAGGCCATCAATCATCATGGTGTGGGAGTCCAGCTCCTGCAAGGTCAGAGGTTCCTGGAGGTGAGACGGAGTCAGCGACTAGAAAAGAAAGAAAAAGAGGGGGAAAGAAGGGAACTGGACTACTGTTCAGAACTGAGCAGAAGCCATTTATTGAGTGTTATCAATGGACTTTCATCCCCAAATTCTGCAAAGTCATCATTACAGGACACAAAAGGTAGCATGTGCCTTTCACATGAACAGATCCAGGTGCACAAAGGACACCCCCTACACAGATGTTTTTTGAAACATGAAGAAGAACAACCACAAATTGTCTTTTTGTTTCTTATGCTTGGTTAATGTTCTCTAAACCAGTTTCTATGTGCCCTTAATTGTTTACAATTACATAAACTTAAAATAACATCACTCAATGCCTAAACCCAAAACCACCATAATGAATTATTAACTTCTACTATTATATGCTAATTCAAACTAGTATCTATTAAAACAATTGCTGCTACGGTTACACTCTCCTAACACCAGTCGGCCTAATTCAAACTAAACTAACCACACTTCTACAATAAAATGGTTACCTAAGTTTTCTTCAGTCTATATAAACTATTTTCTAAAACCTGTATCTATAAATTTCTAAAATCACATCAAGAGAAACTGTGACCTGCACTAAGCCTCCTCAATGTGACTCAAAGTTGAACTTAAATTGTTTAAAAGCAAAAACCATAAACCGTGGAAAATGAAAACAATAAACTCCCAAGTTTAGCTGTGTTTGTTCTGGTTTCAGAGTCCTCTGCTAGAGCCAGCAGGAGCCTTTTCTGGTTGCAGTACCAAGTGGAAAAGGAGGGAGGGAATGGGCAACAGCTCCTGAACACATCCTAGTGGTCTCGAGGTCAATGGCCCTTCCTGATCCCTAATGCTCGGTGGGCCTCCATGGCCGGCTCCCAACGTCATGGTAGTAGAACTATAGCTTATGTAACTTTTTATAGGTATGGCACAATCATAATTCAGGCATCTCACCCTCTGACTGCATACTTCTTTTCTTCTAGCTTTTTGAAACAATTGTCTAAATATAAAAGCACTTAAACTCTCATGGAATTTTCAGTACATTCATAGCTCAACGTATCTGCTTGTCCAGTAGCCCAATCTGCTGTCGACATCCCTGTTTTCCTTTGTTTGAACTTCTTCCTTTTTATAGCTATCAGACCAGATAATTTTCACATGGTCCATTACAAAGTCACATTCTTTAGGTAGTTGAAAAATACCATTTGATCAAAGTAGCAGCAAGATATTGCTACTCTAAAAAATAGATTATAGGATTTATTAGCAGTGACTTCAGATTCTCAGTCTACTTTTAGGTAGGTATGTAACCTCAGTCTCATGATTACTTCTCCATATTTTGGGTTCCTTATTATTCCTGCCAATTAACCAGTGTTTTTGTCCCCATCACTCTTCCTATTATCTGTTTCACTTACTTGTAGAAAATTATTCTTCCTCTCTGCCGGACTTTGGGCTATTTTATCCCTGCTGGAAAAGACCAAAAATGTGTTTCCATGGTTTTCACTAATTCCATGTCTTCTAAATTGTACTCAACAATCCTGCTTTATAACCTAACTCAACTTACTTTACCATGCTCCGTGATAATTTTCAAACTCCAACTCTCCTCAAACTTCCCACTCTCCATTATCATCTATTTATCAGGTGACCCATCCTTCCACCCGACAGAGAAAAATCACAACCGCTAGAAAAGAATTCCTTCAATTCACCTTCAGTAGATTTACATACTTAGCTACATTTATACCTACCAGTCTCATTCATGCCTGCTGTTGTGATAGAAGGGTTCTCCTTTTGTATAACATAAGCCATTCTATTTGAGGCATGAATCCCCTCCCTCTCACCTTTTCAAGGGTCATCTTTAAATAACCATTACTTATTTCTTCTTAATCTGCATCCATTTCCTCCCTCCTGCCTCCTTTCATCAGATCTACTCTCTCTTTTTGAAATTTATGATTGACACAAAATAAGTGTATGTATTTGTGGGGTACAACATGATGTTCTATACACATATAAGCTGGATAATGATCAAATCAGGGTAATTGGCATAGTCATCACCTAAAACGCTTGCTGTTTCTTTGTGATGAGAGCATTCATAAACATCTCTTCTAGCTCTTTTGAAATATCTAATAAATTATTGTTAACCCTAGTCAACCTACTATGCAATAAAACACCAAAATGTACTCCTTCTATCTAACAGTAGTTTTGAACCTTGTTGACGAATCTCTCACAATCTATCCTTCCCATCCTCTGGTACTACTCTAACTCTATTTCTTGACAACACATTTTAGATTTCACATATGAGTGAGATTACAAGGTGTTTGTCTTTCTGTGTCTGGTTAATTTCAGTAAACTAATCCTCCATATATTCATCCATGTTGCTTCAAATGACAGAGCTTCATGTCTTTTTATGGCTAAGTGATATTCCATTATGCATTTATACCACACTTTTTCTATACATCTTTTGATGAACATTTATTTTTATTTTTTATCTTGGCTATTATGAATTGTATTGTAATAAACATAGGAGTGTAGCTATCTCTATGACATGCTGATTTCATTTCCATTGACTATATACCCAGAAGGGAGATTGTTGAATCATACAGTATCTAGTTTTAATTTTGAAAAACATTGCTACTGTTTTCATAATGGCTGTATTCATTAATTTTTTGGCACTAATTTATATTCCCACCAAGAGTATTTAAGGGTTATATTTCTCCTCATCCTGCCCAACATTTGTTATCCTTTGATTTTTGTTTTAATAATAGCCATACTGATGAATGAGGTGATATGACATTGTGGTTTTGATTTGCATTTCCCTGATGATTACTGATGTTAAGTATTTTTTCTTATATTTATTGGCCATTTTTATGTCTTCTTTTGAGAAATGTCTATTCAGCTCTATTGGTTATTTTTAAAATACTTTTTTGGATTTTTTGAGATATTTGTTTCTTATAAGTTTTGAATATTAGTCCCTTTACATATATATAGTTTGAAAATATAATCTCCCATTCTCAAGGCTGTCTTTTTTGTACTTTTGTTTGTTTGTTTGTTTGTTTTGCTGTGCAGGAGGTTTTTAGCTTGTTGTCTTTATGTTACCCATGCTTTTGAGATTTGATTCCAATAATTCTTGCCTATACCAATGTCATGGAGCATGTCCTCTGTGTTTCTTTTAGTAGTTCTGTGGTTTCAGGTATTACATTTAAGACTTTTATCCATTTTAAGTTACATTTGTATATGATTGGAGTCAAGGATCTAATGTCATTTTTCTGCATGTGGATATTCAGTTTTCTCAGTCTCATGTATTGAAGAAATAATTTTTCCCTATTTTTTAATACCAGCACTTTTCTCAAAAATCAGTTGGCTGCAAATACATAGGTTTATTTCTGAATTTTCTATTCTATTCCATTGTCCAATGTGTCCTAAGTGTCTGTTTTTATGCCAGTGTCACACTGTTTTGGTTGCTATAACTTTGTGGTAGTGTGATGCCACTAGCTTTGTTCCTTTTGCTCAAGACTGCTTTGGGTGTTTGGGTTCTATTGTGATTCCATACAAATTTTAGAATTTTTGCTCTAATTATTTTGTGTGTCATTGGTATTTTGCTAGGGATTGCTTTGAGTAGAATGGACATTTTATTTTTTTATTTCTCATTATTAGTATTATTTATACTTTAAAGATGCAGGGTACATTTCAGGGTTAGGTGAATAAGTGGTCATAGTGTAGGTAAAGTTTGGGTACCCTTATTGATGTTATATGCCCACCCCCCCTTCCCTGAAAGTGTCCCACTACTGCCAATCTCCTTCTTATAATATTATGATAAATGTTCAGGGTCTGCTCTGAGTGAGTACATGTAGTACTCAGATCTTTGTTTCTGTGAAAAACACTGAGTATTATAGACTCTAAATCCATCCAAGTTGCTGCAAAGTCATAATTTTGTTTCTCTTTATGACTGCATAATATTCCATTGTGCATACATACCACATTTTCTTTATCCAGTCCACTTCTGATGAGCAGCACAGTTGGTTCCATGGTTTTGCTATTGTAAATAATACTGCAATACACATGTATGTGCAGGTATTTTTTTTATAGAGTGATTTGAGTTCCTCCAGGTATATTCTCAGAAGAGGAATTGGTGGGTCCTATGGAAGGTCGATTTTTAGATTTTTGAGGAATCACCACACTGTTTTTCACAGAGATTGTACGAGTTTACAGTCCCACCAACAGCGCAGAAGTGTTCCCTTTTCTCCGCATCTCTCCAGCATCTGTTGTTTTTGAAGTTATTGATGATGACCATCCTGACAAGAGTTAGGTGGTATCTCAGTGTGATTTTAATTGGAATTTCTTTGCTGATTAGTGAAGTTGAGCATCTTTTCATGTATCTATTGGCTGTTTGTATGCCTTCTTTTGAGAAGTGTCTATTCATACCTACTGCTCACTTTTTAATAGTTTTTTTAATTGTCCTTTTTTTTTTCCTTTTGACACATTTGAGTTCCTGGTAGATACTAGATGCTAGGCCTTTGTCAGATATACAGTTAGCAAATATTTTTTCCCATTCTATGAGCTGTCTCCCTGCTATCTTGATGGTTTCTGCTGCTTTGAAGAAGTTTTTCAGTTTGATGAGCTCCCACTTGTCTATCTTATCTTTTATGGCATTCGCTTTTGGAGAGTCGATCAGGAATTGGTTGACTATTCCAATTTCTGCAAGAGTATTTCCTACATTTACCTCTAGGATTTTTACAGTTTGAGGTTTTACATTTTGATCAATTTAGAGTTTATTTTTGTGTATAGTGATAGATAGGAGTCCTGTTTCAATCTCCTGCATGAGGTCAACCAGCTTTTCCAGCATTGTATGCTGAATAGATTCTCCTCTCCCCAGTGGTTGCTGCTGGAGGCTTTGTCAAAGATGAGTTGCTT